GTCCCCATGTGCCCCATCCCCGCAGTCCCTGTGTCCCCACAGGTCCCCACGGTCCCCATGGTGCCTCTTCCCCGCAGTCCCCGTGTCCCCACGGTCCCCACAGTCCCCATGTGCCCCATCCCCGCAGTCCCCATGTCCCCACAGATCCCCACTGTCCCCATGGTGCCTCTTCCCTGGGGTGTCCCCGTGGTCCCCATGTCCCCAGGGTCTCCTTGTTCCCAAAGTCCCCACGTGCCCCTTCCCCGTGGTGCCCATGTCCCCATGTCCCCCATCCCTGCAGTCCCCTTGTCCCCACAGTCCCTGTGTCCCCACACTCCCTGTGTCCTCATGGTCCCCAATGTCCCCACAGTCCCCGTGGTGCCTCTTCCCTGGGGTGTCCTTGGCCCCATGGCCCCTGTGTCCCCACAGTCCCCTACGTCCCCACGGTCCCTGTATCCCCATGGTCCCCCTGTGTCCCCATGGTCCCCTGTGTCCCCTTGGTCCCCTACATCCCCCTGTGTCCCCATGGTCCCTTATGTCCCCACGGTGCCTCGTCCCCGCGGTGTCCTTGCCCCCACGGCCCTCGCGTCCCCAGGGTCTCCTTGTCCCCAGAGCCCCCACGTGCCCCTTCCCCGCAGCGCCCACGTCCCGGTGGTCCCCACGCGCCCCGTCCCCCCGCCGCGGTCCCCCCACACGCGTGCCCCCGTCCCCAGGCGGGGCTGGCGCGGTGCCAGCGCGAGGCCGAGGAGGGGACGGAGCTGATGAAGCAGAACTTCGCCCGGGCGCTGGAGCGGGACGGGCGCCTCAGCGACCTCGACAGCCGGGCCCAGGAGCTGCGCGCCATGGTGGGCACACGCGGGCACCCGTGGGGATGTATAGCCCCGGGGGGGGGGACACACGTGGTATAGGGACATGCAGGCCTGGGTGGGGTGGAATGGGACCCTGGGGGACACTATGGGGACAGACAGCCCCAGCGGGGACACGCTATAGGGACATATAGCCCTGGGGGGACACACTATAGGGACATGTAGCCCTAGGGAACACACTATAGGGACATATAGCCCTGGGTGGGCAGGGATGGGACCCTGGGGGACGCTATAGGGACATATAGCCCGGGGGGGGGACGCACTATAGGGGCACGCAGCCCTAGGGAACACACTATAGGGACATACAGCCCCGGGTGGGTGGGGACAGGACCCTGTGGGACACTATAGCAACATATAGCCCTGGGGGGGGCACAGTATAGAGACATATAGCCCTGGGGGACACTACAGGGACATATAGCCCTGGTGGGGACACATTATAGGGACATATAGCCCTGGGGGACACTATAGGGTCATATAGCCCTGGGGGGACACACTATAGGGACACACAGCCTTAGGGAACACACTATAGGGACATGCAGCCCTGGGGGACACTATAGGGACATACAGCCCAGGGGGACACACACTGTAGGGACATATAGCCCGGGGGGGACATGCTATAGGGACATATAGCCCTGGGTGGGCAGGGATGGGACCCTGGGGCACACTATAGGGACGTATAGCCCAGGGGGACACTATAGGGACCAGCCCTCCAGCCGCAGCACCCGGGCGGTGGCGCGCCAGCAGCGCAGGGGACACCGGCGCTGGCGCCTGGTGGCCATCGGCCTCGCCACCCTCCTCCTCCTCTTCCTCCTCGCCCTCGGCCTGGCGCTGTGGCTC